ATCGGGTCGTGCGATAATGCCGCCGCGGAATGGTATGGAAATGGCGGCCGCGGCACTCCTCGCCGCTTTGTTCCCGCGCCGACTTGGCTGTTGCAGATAAGTGTACATTATTGAGAGGATCTGCGCGAGACAGAGCGCGCGCAGTGATTTGATTATTGGGCGGGTGCGGGGAAGCGTCGGCCTGGGCCGAGCCCGCACCGCAGCTCCTGCGCTCGACTTGCCCTCCGCCCGGGCCGGGGCGTTATCGGCGCCAATATTCCAGAAGGATTTACTTAGATTTACATCAAATGGCTAAGGTTGTCATAGCCACCGGCTTCCTGAGGCGACAGCTCACACCGAGTCACCGTTCACGAGCACATACGCCGGGCAGAGTAATTTATGATGTCATTTTGAGTTGCATGCGATATCAATGCGATTGGTGTATGTGCTGCTCTTGACGCGCTCAGGCGCAAGCAAGGTGTATATGTAGTGATAACACCCGGTGTGTTTTCGCTCTGTTTAATCAGCCGAATTAGATCCACCAACAGATTGGAACCACAATCATTAGCATTCTACGTAGCTGGTACTAACGCTGTTTTGATTTGTTCTTTGGCTAGTTAAAAATGTGTGTAAGCTCAAGAAACCAACTCAATCGACGACGGAATTACACAGTTCCACTTGCCTCGATGTTTCACGCAACTCGACATAAGAATTGTGTGCGGTAGAATGCCTGAACTCCGCCCGTATGGTTTACTTTCGCAGAACTTCAGTGGTAAGTGCTACCGCCCAGAACCGCCGCAATTGGCTTAGTTTCCGCCTCCTGAGCCCGTGTCAGCGCTCATCGCGTTCTGGTTAAATCATCGCGACCAAAAAGGCAGCTCATTTGCATAACGCTGCCAGGGGCGCCGCAAAGGATTAGCCGGCGGAGGCGCACTAATAACTCTAACCAGACTCTGAGCCTCATTAATAGGGGCGTGATAGGGGCGGCATTAACGCTTGTTGAGCACGCCGAAAGACATCCGGTAGCGGAGCAGACAAAAGGCTGGCTCATTTGGCAAGAGATTGGCGTTCGGAAGCCAGCCGAGACGCAGCCTGAATCAGCGCACTGAGGAAGTGAGGCGCATGGGATGAGCGCATTGAGGTAAGGTATTGAGAGCTGAGAACGTAGAAGGGGTGCATGCTGCTCAGTGGAGATGTGTCATTGAAGCACCAGTCACTATGTCAGCGTAATAATATTAAAGGGATACTCGCTTGTGATCCGTAAAACAATGTGTCCGGAGTATTGCGACATATTTAGCGGTGAAACTCGGGACTTTCGACATCGTTTGTTTGATTATGGCACCGCGAATAGGAAACTCTAAATAATTATTTTAGGAATTTAAGATGGACAAGCTATTGACAGGCAGTGTGCGGTTCAGTCTCGTCTTACAAGCCTTGTAGTGAGGTATTGGGCGGAAGGCTACAGAACCAATCGAGCCCAAACGCACCTAAATTCCATTTCCAGGACCCAATGACCATTCACAACTGCATCATTATTGTTTGCGGACGCTGTTGAATTGCATTTTCCGATCAAACGCCCTAATAAATGTCGCGACACCGCTCCATTTGCCCCAGGCGAAGCACATAAATCAACTGCCACACGTTCGGGCGGCAACATCAAAGGACATCAAAGGGGCCGCGCTGGACAGGCCGCGGCTCGTCTGAGATCAATGGCTGCAGAGGAGGGGCAGTGTCACCTCACGATTGTCCAATTGGTTTGTCTGGAGGCAAGGATGGGGCCCCCTGAAGAGCAGAATAAGGACAAGTGAAGCCATCACCGCTCCGGCAGCCGAGACGCGCAGTACTTGCAATAAGACAAGGAAGACGCATTCGGACAAAAGGTTGTATTTTTATCTGCCTTTTGTCTTTCCTCGTGGCATATTCGAGCAACGAACACGACCGCGAAGAAATAACAGGGAACCGATACGCCTCAAAAACAGAAGAGGATTTCAGGCTGGTAGTTACGAAGACCACTTCATTACCCGGCGGGCGCTTAACAAGCAGTGCGATACATCCTGTTAATGAGTCGCAAATACCATATCCCAAGCGAGCTACTGTTAATTGTAAAGTGGGGAACACTGTGCCCAATCCACTTTGATGTGCTCGTAAATCCCCGTGCCTCTCGGCTCCACAGCAATGCGGAACTGTTCACAGCTCTTCTAGCCTAGGCGTTCGTTAACAGCCCAAAGGCATTCTCTAATCCCTTTGAAAGGATGACGCCGCATGTGAACGATAGTGCTGCAGCCGCGTCCTGCGTACACACCGGCGCACAACACATCCCGCCAATCATCCCCCCCCCCCACCTCGGGGACCCCTCCCACGACCGGACCAGCGCCCCCCCCCCCCCCCGCCCCCAACTCACCCAGTTTCGAGCGGTGAGTGCTCTCGTGACGTCCCCTGGCTAATGCACTGTCGCGGCCCCGGCGCCGTTATCGGCCGGAGGATCGGCCGGCCGTGCCTCGCCCGGCGTTGAAGGGTCGACAGCCGGCCGCCAGCGGACGGTGTATCGGACGGATCACCCCGGCGCTGCGTCCGGCCGCCCTCCCCGACTGTGGGGCGCCGCCTCGGTCCATCTGTTACCGGCGCCACGCAGGTTGATGAGCTGGTTTTTCTGACAATTGCTCAGACAGTGAGGCTGGGCGCGAAATGGTTACTGCTGTCCCCCGAACGGGTAACGGTTCGGGAAAAATTAGACCATTTGCTTCAGTTATGTTTGAAAACCCATGCACCGGCCTCTTAAAATGCGGGACCAATTTCTTGAAAATGGGTTGAAAGCAGAACAAGAATGATTTCTCACTTGATTAACAACCAAATTTTCGTGGCTGTGTACAAACAATGCATGTTAAAAGGATCAGGTACATTAAAAGAGCTTTCTAATTGGTGTGTTCCTCGAACCTCATAACATGCCCATTCCAGAACGCAGCTACTTATCTAGACCAGCCTCCAGCAACTGAAATGCTGCCGCTTTTGCACTTAGTCTTACAAATCAACCTCTGATTACGAGGCTAGCTCTCATACTTCGTTATGTTATCGCCCGCCGCACTGAGTTTAAACTTTCTTGATGAGCCTCCTAATTTGGCACAAGTTAGAGCTAAGCCAAGTCTAGATCCAGATCACGTCAAGATCCAGTTTCACGTCAAAATGACCCCGCACAATCAAACGTTGAATGCGTTTCATGTTCATTCAAAGTTATACTTAAGTGCAGCTTGCCGATGTGTGGCACATCGGTGATGTGTGATGTGTGTGGCGATGGGGGAAATGATACGTACGCATGGATGGGAGTGGGAGGGCAGAAGTGTAGATATAATTTTAAACTACCATGCTCGACATTTTATCAACGAATTAAATGTGCATAAAAGTAAGTTTATGGCCGTTTTAACCCGACTCATCAGGTTTAAAACCATCATAGGTTACGTTTTATTTGCGCCGTTACATGTTTTAGCTCTATTGATTCACATTATTGCATTTGATTTGAAAACCTGAATGATTGAAAACAAAGTTCAAAAAATGGAACTGGACCTGACCAGTCACGCAATCAGCGTTCTCCAGATCTACAGATGATCACGTGCTGGGTTCGTGCAATCTACAGATCATCACGTGCTGAGCTCGTGCGATCTACAAACCATCACGTGTTGGCCTCGTGCAACCTACAGATGATCACGCGCTGGACTCCTCAGATGATCATGCGCTGGGCTCGTGCGATCTGCATATAATCACGTGCTGGGCTCGTGCGATCTACAGATGATCACGTTCTGGGCTCGTGCAATCTACAGTTGATCACGTGCTTGGCTCATGTGATCTATGGATGATCACGTGCTGGGCTCATGCGATCTGGACGTTTTCAAGATTTTTGTAATCAGCTGGATAAGTTTATAGTCTACGGGGATGTTCGAATATAACAATTCATATATCTATTGGAATCATTCACCCAGCAGAGCTCAAGTCCAAGTGCAATGCAAGCCAGCGAATGCGAGCTAGTGAGTAAAGTTACAGTCATGAAAAGGATTTCGAGTACTCGTAGAAAGTATGCAATGTAATAGAAGATCTCGAACCTCAGATTGATTGCAGACCGGGACAGACATCAACGTTTTATTCTAAGATTGCGTTTCTGCTAATATTCTTCGGAGATCCTCACAGTTTTCAGCTGCGGTTATAAGCAGTCTGTTTAAGCTTGCGTATACAATGACGTGTCCTGCGATCGCGATGGATCTCCCTCACACTAGCTGTATAAACAGTTTAAAGTAAGAGATCAAACTTGACGAAATAAGCTGGAGGAACGGAGTTTTGCTCACATCATCCCTCACAAAATCCAGTATTGGTCTTACTAGCAGCATTCCATCCAGGGCGAAAATGATTTATGACTTAGCAAAACTACATGCGTTTGTTGTAATACAAATATTTACTTCGTCTCGTTTAGCCTGAAATGCATTCGGAACTTTTCCAGTAACAATTCCAGCATGCAGGGTAACTGCGTGCGTCTACCTACGCGTGTGTGTTGTACACACCAGCCATATGGTTTTATCCCTTAGCATGCGAAAAGTTAATAAATAAACGAGGATTTTGAACCAATTTTCAACCAGTACACTGAATCAGAGAGATGCATGTAAGGTCACGAAAAACAAGAACAAACAAAAATAGAGGAGATGACACGAGTACAACACATGGGCGCGTAATTCCAAGCGTGTCGACGTCTCGTAATTATACGTTTCGCGCCATTGCTTCATAACGTATACAGCTCCTGCCGGGCTATCGAACTATGCATCGCAGCGCATCCGACAGCAGACATCACACGACACACGATAGCTACGCGGCACCGTACAGTTTGTCCGGCATCTTTGCTGCCCTGCACGTCGGCAGAGAGTGGGCGCTGAGGGGACCCTCGGCTCTGATTCCCCTCCCCTCCGCCGTCCAGCGACACGTGTCCGGGCGCTGACGGCTTGTAAACACAGCACGCCTGTGTTTGCCACTGTTATCTGCCGGCTCGGCCTGGACAGAGGAGCGGCCGCTGGCCGGCCGTCAGTGGCAGTCAGCCGACACAGGCCCATCATGCTGCGCGCTTCGACTCCGGTGCTGCTGGCCGCGCTGGCCGGCCTGGCGGCCGCCGCCGCCGGGCAAGACCCGGCTGCCAGCAACGACACGGAGCTGCTACACCCGGACCAGCTGGTGCTCCAGCAGCGGGTGGGCGTGGGGCTGCTCGGGGACATGTACGTCAGCGCTCCGGTGGTGTCACCGGTGAGTAACAGATGTGGAGGCTTCAGACGTGGAAGCGCACGTCAGCAAGGTGCTGGCGTCTGGTTTGCGGTGCTGGTTTGCACGGTGCTGGCGTCTCTAGCGGCGTGTGCTGCTGATGGTGCGCACGATGCTGGCGTCTCTGGCAGCGCACGCTGCTGATGGTGCGCATGGTGCTGGTGCGCCCAGCAGCGTTCGCTGCTGATGGTGCGCACGGTACTGGTGTGCCCGACAGCGCACGCTGCTGAAGGTGTCCACGGTGCTGGTGTGTCCACCATCGTGCGCTGCTGATGGTGTGCACGGTACTGGTGTGTCCAACAGCGTGCGCTGCTGATAGTGTGCACGGTGCTGTGTTGCAGAATCAAGTCTTTACGCCTTCCAACGTGTCTGGGTGACGTTTATCCCAATGCATCAGATAACTAAGCCACGTTATGTATATTACGCATTGAATTAGAGCGCGTATATTTCCAGAGGCCCCAGAAACGGCCAATTCATTGATGGAAGTGGAATATAGGCAGTCCATGAGCTTTAAGCTCTCAAAGGGTGCCTAGCGTAGTTGTAAGCAAGGCTCTAATGGCGGTTAGGGGCAGCCCAAGGCCGCAAGCACGGGAGGTGAATGTATCAGAGGAGATACGCATAATCCAGATCTAATTGAAATGTTCAGCACTTTCATTGAAGTCTTTTGTAAGCTAACCCCTTCCACATACTCACATAATGTATTTATTTTTTGCAAAACGTAACCAACTTCTTTATGCGGGAATAGTTGGGAAAAAATTGTGTTAGGACGCGGGTAATACGCGAGGTTTGTAGAAACCAGTGGAACATGTTTTATTAAACCACTGTATTTATTGTTCAGACCCGCAACCTATCTTTGCTTAATGACGTTGTCTAACCAGTACCTTGTTTCATAATGAAAGACTATTATTGCCAGCATAAAACTACACACCTATAGACATAAGGCATAATGATATCCGGCCAACAAAGAGCCCCAAGGGCCCATCGAGCTTTGCCTACCTCAGGTTTCGTACATATCCTCAAAACTAATCATCTGACCTACATAAATTCAGCTGTAAATGAGATCTTTAGACCGGTAGCGGTTGTCCAAACGATTCTTCAATGTTGCTTGAGAGGGATTTCCTACAACTTCGTTTTCCAGCCGATTCCAATGGTACAGTGCTCTTCGGTCATTACTTATCTATAATGCCAGAGACGAGTAGCCTAGGACATGTCTTATTTGTAAGCAAGAGCAAACTTTACTGAATGCCGTAAACCATTAGCCGCATGAAAGATTGAGTTTAAAAAAACTCGAACTATTTTGAAAATCACAACCTTTATGGGGCAGAACGAGCATGCATTGACAATTTTTCAGCATTACGATAATCAGCAAAAGCCTTAAGGGTGGCAAGTATACAAGCAAAAGCCACGAATTTCGTTGTTTCAATCGTTATAGCTTAACAGATGCTTCTTAGCGCCGTAATTTTCATATTATTGAAAAATAAAGGTGCCCCATTTTTGGTTGGCTTGAACAAAGCTTGATGAAACCCCCAAGTCAGCTAAGGTCCCCAAAACAGTCAGGTATGCCCGCACGATCTAAAGACTCTTGAGCTGGCCAGCAAATCATAAGACGGCTCAGTGAGTGGCGAATTATTGGCGTCGACAAATGTTGGGTCTCAAATCCCCTCATAATTCACATCAGAAGTTCCAAGAGAATGGCCATAAAGGGACTAACTTACCTTCCTGGAATTTTTTGGTGGATACATCATACTGGTTCGATAAAGTCGGCAAGACCATTTTTTTGGAAATCCTCCTGAGTTTCTTAAAATGTCTATTTAAAGTAGCAGCTCCGGCAGAATAGGTTAGAAGTTGGGCTCCCCGTTCGCGATGATAAAAGTAACACCATTAAGTTGCTCTGGTTTCCCGACATGTGTCTTATGCGGCGTTTGCGATGCCCTTCTTGGCCAAAATGCTTGTGAAATAAATGGTATGAAATTTTAAAACATTCTGAGGAAAACTACACAAATATGTCATCACCTGCGTTCAACAAAACCTCATATTCAGTTCAGAGTTCTTATGCTGAGTAATCGACTTCCAATACACCAGAAGATACTGTAAGTTGTTAAGTGCATTTGCGAGGAGCATTATTTACATAGATAAGACAGGAGTAATGTCTACATGTTGGGAAACCAATACAACTCAGTGGTGTAACTTATATCATTGTGAACGGAGAGCCTAATTTCTAATCTATCTGGATCTCCTTCTCCAAATAGAGCTATTGAGCCACTCAGGATTTCCAAAAACCGGTCCTGCCAACCTTGTCGAACGAGTATGATCTATCCGCGAAGGGTACAAAATGGTAAGGTACTCCCTCTTTGGCCATCCTTGGAACTTCTAATGTGAATCATGAAAGAATCTGAGCTATTCGTCTCCGCTTTTTGTCTCCCACTATATGTCGCCTATTCTCTCTATTTGTCTCCGCTATTTGTCTCCCACTATCTGCCGCCTATTCTCTATATTTGTCTCCGCTATTTGTCGCCCACTTCTTGTCTCCGCCAAGAATGCATTACGCACTGAGCCGTCTTATGGTTTGCTGGCCAGTTGAAGGGTCTTTAGATCGCTGCGGGCATAATGATAGGAACCCGACCTATCGGAAGACGGATTCTTAACGCTTCCTTACAGAGTTGAGCATCTGCTTTGGAAAATCAAACACATCTTTAAAGAATCAAAACTGCCCATGCGCACAGCTTGGAAGAACGACAATAAGCTAAAAAAGCATCTGGTGAAATATTCCATCTTAAAGCTAAGTGCACGGGTGATAATACTGTGATGTATGCAAGTTTGGGTTTCAGGGGGTTTGCACGCAAATAACGTGGTTTGCAAAATTAAGTGTTAATTGTGTCAAAAACAGGGGAGAAACTTAGGTGTCGGGGAGTCCATGCGCCCTTTTCGTTTCAGAAGTAATGAATACCCGCGGGACGCTAAAAAAGAAAACACGAAATATATATATATATATATATATATATATATATATATATATATATATGTATGTACATATGCATATATGTATATATATATATACATATATGTATATATCTACTCTCATATATATACAGCGCGCAGTGCATATATGATATAATATCCTTTTGGCCGCCATTTATTGGCAAAACACGGTCAGGCTGAAATCCAGGGAGGTATGGGCCTATACTGCTTTTAGAGCTCAAAGTCATCTACAGAGTACAGGACCACACAGACAGGAAAATAAGCGAATCTGTTCTTATGAAAAGTCGGCGACCAAATCTTAACGTACAGAGCTCATTATGGCCGATTCTGCGAACGTGACATGTACCTTCTTAATGTGTGATGTGCGCTCACTTAAAATCGTTTACATGTGCACGTGATGCCTGACGCGTGGTGCGCGATGCCTATTCAATTGAATTCGCTTGCATATATGACTGATGCGTGATGTGTGGTTACATGTTTGAATGAACCGTGATAAGTGATGCCTGTTTACTTGAATTTGTTTGCATGTGCACCTTTTTTCACCTATTCTAATTCTTAGGTATATACTGCATCGTAATAATAGCCGGCAAATGCTCCTTGTTTAATCCCCGGAATATTTGTGTCCTGTAAAAACTGTGGCTTACTGTTTCAAAAAAGGACTGTAAAATCGAGTAGAATCATCGGCAGGCAATTTTAAATGCACTTTTTCTATTGTTCCGATAGAGGCACGCTGCCGAAATATCAAACTATACCTCCATTCTCCTGGTTTTTCTTCGAGGAATAAGGCTTAACCACTGTCTTAACCAGTAGATACTGGTCAAACGACGTCACCGTGCAAACAATGGTTACATCAACAATGTTTGATGTTTCAAGGTGGGCTTATGCTCATAAGGATGGCCCTGGCTGGTACTCCAAATGTAGCGCACTCCCTTTGGTATGCCCAACAGCCTTCAAACCTCAAAATGGAGAAGTGCTACCCTGCACAGCCAACAAGTGCCACGACCTGTGCAGTTGCACCACGATCATCGGAAAATGCCACCAACTGTCGCAGTCTGCCTGCGATGAACTCCAAGTGCTGCAAATGGTTCGCTTCAAATTTTAGAAAAACTGCATTTTTGCTAATCCTCTGTGCGTGATCTGTAGCTGTGCAGGTCAAGTTAAAGCTATCTCCCATGCCGCAGCTGCTGGTTACCCCGGTCGATTCGCCATCTACGCCATCGCCCAGCTTCTCCACCGTGTACAGCTTCTTTGAAGTCGCTCAGAAGGGCACCTCGGCACTGAAGCGGGGCGTCTGGTTCAGTCACAAGACCGTCACCCTGGTGCTCTCTTACCACTACGGCTGCCCGGTCCAGGTAGACGGACGATAGCTCTGTCGAGACCACCCTCCAAATATCAGCTGTCGAGCCGCTACGGCGTAGAGAGCGCAGCGCCTTACCTGGCCTAGTGTCCCGGTGTCTAAAGGTCCCTTCCACCCCCCCAACCCCACGAATAGGAAGTTGGTGGGCGGCAACGGGTCGGAAAAACGACCTCTGATTAGTATGGAAACCTATCCCACGCCGCCCACGCCGAACATGGAACGTAAATCGATGTCATTTAAGAGTTAAAGAATACTGCAGCATTGACTTTTTATATTACGGTGATATAGTACCCGCATAACAAACACCTGTTTACAAAACGTCCAGCCGCATCCGCAGATATCTGGCACGGCGAGAGAATGCTAAAGCGGAGAGTCCGCGTCCGCTCCCAGATCTACAAGATCCGCGACGGCAAGCTCACGACCGAACTCCTCGGCAACCCGCTGGAGAACGCCGAGTTCAGGCCGACGCTAGTACTCTGGGCCGGCGACCTGCAGACGGTGGAGTCACTCTGCGAGGACATGTTCACCTTCGTCTCCTACGTCAGCGTCACAGGTCCGCGTCCGACGCATCATGCTGTTCCTCCCTAAAGCTGGTCCGTTTCTTATGCATGAGAGGCTGGGTGCCTGGGGCGCCAAGGCTTGATCCAGACCGAATCGCAACTCGTTTGCCAGGATAGCTTAGTGCCTAGAAGGGTGTCAGTAGCTTTACAGCGCTCTTAAAGTAACTAACGATAGTCAGCTGCTTTTGTCTTGTCCATTGAAAACAAACAATGATGTCTGGTGAGTGCTTGGTGTCATGTCGTATTGCACATGTTTCTTCACTACCGCCTGCTTGTTGTCATGTACATGCTTACCCGCTAAAAAAATCCATGTTTGAAGTATATGTTCACAAAATTATTTTCTCGAGTGACTTCGCTGTGTGGACCACCGCAACTCATCCTCGCACCGTGGACCCCTCTTCTACTTGTATCGCCTGCGCCGACCGACTGCCCCAACTCACCATTTCAATTCCCCTCAGTCCTTCTCACAGCCCTCCCTCTGACCGTGCATGGCCCACAGCGTGGACACTGGACGGGAGGGAGAGCTGGGATGCCGAACAGATGGTATCCAAATTTCCACTGTACGCCGACGAGTTTCGCCGGCTGGCCAGCGCCGAGTTCAACGCCGACCAGAGCAGTCTCAGCCCCGAGGTGTACAACGGAGACTGGGCCCCCCAGTGAGCCGCTGACTACCTGCGGCGACGGACTGGCATCCCTCGCGGCGATGAACCGCCGCAGGGCAGAGAGCCCGCAGCCGGCTGAGCACCAACAGCACCCGCCATCTTGCGGCGTTCGTCAGTTATGAGTTCTCCGTCGGCCGGTGGTGACCGTTGTTGCCATGTCAACCATTGAAGCGTCCTCTGTTCCTTTTTACGTCGTGGCTGGCCATGGATTGTTGTCCGGCCTGGTGCCTCGAATGCGTATTGCGGTTCGTGGCTCGCGTCCATGTAAAGCAGGCAGGCTCCTTTAACTTGATTCATAATTCATTCATCGCAAAAAGTATTCTAATGCCCATGGATACGGAATAACCGGAGATGTAGACAGTCAACCCCCAGGATGGGACTTACTAAAATACTGCATGAGCGTTACTTTTGTGTAACCACGGCACGCGTATCAGTAGCAGTGATTTTTAATGCCTATCACGTATGTGTGTGTGAAGTTTAAAGATAAATCCAAAATATATTCCATCTATCGCAACAAATGCAACGAAAGACGTTTTGCCGAACCTAAGTCTACAAGCGCAAAGGGGAGTATAGTGAATAAAAGCATCTAGGATGAGTTTTTGTGACTAAATGAGTCATATTGTATCAGCTATAGAAAGACATATGATATACGTATGTATGCAAACATGAATCGTTTTGTTCATTAGCACCGCAGAAAAGCTGGCTTAATCGACAGGCTGTGTTTGGATACATAACAGCCAGCGCCAAAATGTTTTGCAAATTTACACATGTATGCAGAGAGAAGAAACCCAACGGAATGTCTGGATCGGAAGACACTGTGCCTCGTAAGTTGTAAACATGATCTGGAGCAAACCGGTTTACTGCGGTTCTCACTTCGGCAAGGAAACTCGTGCTGTGGACCAGGCTACACAGTAAACACGGTCGCAAAGATTGGTCGAGCATTACCGTTGCAGTATCGCGCTGCATAGTCTGTGTAGACCTTGAAGTCCGCGTGGGGTGCCTCGTCACGCTGCACCCCTATACAAACCCTGAGGTCCTCGTGGGCCGCCTCGTCACACCGCACCTCTACAGATCTACAGGTCCGCGTGGGGCGCCTCGTCGCACTGCACCTCTACAGATCTACAGGTCCGCATGGGCGCCTCGTCAAACTGCACCCCTGCAGATCTTCAGGTCCGCGTGGGCCACCTCGTCACAACACACCCCTGCAGAGTTCCAGGTCCGCGTGGGGCGCCTCGTCACACTGCACCCCTATACAAACCCTGAGGTGCGTGTGGGACGTCTCGTCACACTGCACCCATGCGGACGAGCCTTCACAGGCCACGGAAGGCAGGCACCGGGCTTGCGATGTCCGCTCACCGCTTCCGCATTGGATCTGTGGAGCTGGCCCAGCGCGGACGGACGGCCTTTATAACAGGGCCTGCGATGTCCGCTCACCGCTTCCGCATCGGATCTGTGGAGCTGGCCCAGCGCGCACGGCCTGGCTTTATAACTCCGAGCGGCCAGGTTACGCCTCTCCCGCTGTGAGCGCGTGGTGCGGGCTCAAGTGACGTTGGACAAGAGTAAGCGGGGCTGTGACGCCAGGGTGGCTGATTTTGGGACGATGGCAGGGATAAATAGCGCTGTTATGCGCACGCCGTGGGCTGATAAGATGCCCACGGATATTGGCGGTGCACTGAATGGGATCGTCTTTCTTAATTTTACGACATGTAAAGTGCTCCGTAGACTTGTCGTAAGCCCGTGTTCGATTATTGTCACGGGTTAGTTCTAGTATCGCTGATCAACAAAACAGCGCAGGCCTGGTCAGAGAGGGGCATAAACATCCAACTTATAGAAAAAGGCAAATTTCGACAGTCCTGGAGCGTGGCCCGGCTCTCCTTTCCAACTTCTTCCATCACTGCGACGACAGACACGCCATAATATGACTGGATTTTAGAGGAGCCCGATCTAGGAACGAGTGAAAAAACGCCCGTAGACGACGCCAGAACATTGTGATATAACCATGTGTCTTGATTCGTCGTCTTCATCACCCCAGTACTCTGAAAAGAAGCATACCACAGTTAGATGAGTCAGTAATAGTGTATTGTAGCGGTTCCAAACTGGATTCGTGAGAAACATCAGCCTTGTCCTGCGACCTAACGACTGACCTTACCCTTTGGAACCATGCATCATATTGTTTCCGATATCAATATGTGCGCGAAAAAAATAGTTTCCGCTTTCCAAAACACATTCCATCCAGTCGCAACGGCGTCCAACATTAGTGCAAGGTGAAAGCTAGGTGAAACAAAACCAGGCCACTGCTGTGGGTTCAACCCCGTCCTAAAATAACACCAAACCACTAGTGTAATCTGTGTTCGGCAGCCTGCTTTTTGTGGCAATGCTGTCGTACCCCAGAAGACGTCTTCCTGCGTTGCTAATCTACGCCACCGATCGAGACAAGGGGCTGCCGCTTCTCCCACGCCAGCTGTGACGGGATTCCTTCCGTCTGGCCAGTGTCCGGTTAGGCTCTCTCTATCTGATGTTTACCCTTATTGGCCATAAATCGACCGCCGCCGTTCCCCGCTGTCAAATCAAATAGGTAATAACTCGCCGCCGAGCGCCTTGCGTCTCTGAGGCTCGTTTTCACTAACTGGCTGTGTGTGCTCCTCTTTGTTCCGCCGGCCGCAGCGTTGCTTTTGGCGACGCCAATGGCGCAGACGTAATTGATAAAACGCGCAGACACACCACGGTCGCCTCCGACACACAGCAGCGCACGAGCCAGCGTTTTGTCCGCACGAGATTTATTCGCGCCTCTAATTCACCCGGGCGCCTGTGCGTCTGGCGCAGTCGGGACTTTTTCTCACAAAAAACGCGGGCTATTTTAGCACGACGTGCTGTCTTTTTACACCATTTCACGTATCATTTACCGTTACAGTTATTAAAATGCAATAAATTTTCATTAAGGAGGGTTTTTAGAGAAAACCATTGGAAAGCGAGGTGAAATCGGCTTCACAGTCCAGCTGTCCTTAGCTCGACAAAAACCGCGTTTTGTGTGGAAATTATTTATGCAGTTTTGGAAGAAGAGGGTGTTAGATGAGGCCGATTTAGTACCGTTCCGTGGTCGGGCACACAAGACCCTCTTCTGCTCGTGCTATTCACGTTCAGGTGCTCCATGCCACCACCAGCGGCCGACCAACAATGCCTGCATAATCCGACACGTTGGCTTTTTAGCATATTGGAAGCCTGGATAGGTCCTGAATGCGTTGAGTACGTCCCGACTTTTTGAATCCCAAACGAGTCGTGCGTTGGATGTGAAGTGCAGTCGTGTCTGTTCACTGGGAGCCCACAAGTGGATTCAAGGCTTGAGTGGAGGTGGTTCGATTATGGTTTGGACAACACACACAATAGAATATTCGTAGATATGTGTGTCTGTCGGAATGATATGGCATCGGTAATATTGCCACTTGTTGCCACTTATTGCCACATTGCCATATTGATAGCCATAGTCACCTTACATGCATGTAACGCTATGCCTGTCAGTTGTTAGTTGTAGTCCTTAGTTACTGCTAGTGACTGCGTTGCTGTCCGCCGTCATTCAAGCAAGTCCATTGCTTATCACAATGTTTGCCTGTCGTTTGCTGTTTGTTTTTCTACCGCTGTCTGCCATTTCAGTCTGCCATTTGTTTGTGTCAACGGCCCGTATCCGTGTCTGTCAGCTGTCTGCCCCCTGCCTAAGTTCCTTAGGCGCGTCTGCCAACTGCCTTCCCCGTGTTGTTTGGTTACCAGAGCTGGCTGGTGATGAGGCGCGGTGGCTAGGTGAAGGGTACCAATAATGAAGTACTACGCAATCCCATGACAACATGCTTCAATGCATTTTTGATCGACCCTACTACTTCGGAGGCGTCAGATATTTGGTAAGCTGTTGCGGGACTTAGTTTGCGGTGGCCGCGTGTTCTGACGATGCCATAGTCGACTCTACCGACATCAGATGGCTCGATCTGTTGGACGATGCCATAGTCGATTCTACCGACATCAAATGGCTCGATCTATTGGACGCTGCAGGCGACTTCTCCATCGATAGACGTGACATGCACCTTTTCCTTGTCTGAATGGGACGCGTCAGGGACTGCAGCCACTCTGCGCTCGCCACCTTTTGGCCACACCACTTTGTCATTCAAATATTATCACAGTATTAGCATTTATCAAGAGCGTTCACACAAAGCGATCCTTTCACGCCTCATCCGGCAACCCTTTATGTGGTGTTAATTGGCGGCGGGGCTGCCGGGCGCGCGGTGGCACCACACTGCGTCACGTGTCGCGGCTCTGTCGACCCGGCGCTGGGCACCGGCCGCCTTTAATCACCCCATGCCGACCCGCCAGGGGGTCACCGGTGACGTCACAGCTCTAGGGGAGCGAAGCGTTCAAACACCGCGCCGTATAGGCAACTGCAGTCGTAGTCGCGCTCAAATAGGACTATGGTAATGCGGATAGTTGTGTTGAATATCAAGGAGAGTGCTGACATACGATTATGGCTGGGTGGCACGTGGTTAATTGGCGGATGGCAAACACAAAACGCTTCCGTATGCAGATTTACGACTTAATGGGAAAAGCCCACCGCGCTGCCAACGAAGAGTTAATAAGCTTGCTAGGATTTCGAATTTACTTCCGCGTTAATGTGTTACTAATTTCCATTTATCATGCAAGCAGGTGCAATCTTTCGCGACACCATTATGATGTGAGTCACTCAGTATACATGCACATGGAAAATCATGTGGAAGAGAGAGTTAACTACAGTTACATCGAGTCACGTGTTTCGCAGCATTCAGTTGTTTGCGCTTCGCATATTTCATGCTCTATGTACAAATCAATAAGCCGCTAACGAGCGTGATGGCGATTGTTGCCCTGGCGTTCATTTTGGGTATCAGATCTCAGTCCGCTGAAGACGCGTCAGCGTGTTTTTATCTGGACTGAGAGGGTCCGGCGAAGATGACCGTCCACACAACGCCCTGGTCATTACCGTCGACACGGCCGCGAGGCTAAAAACCGACGCCAATGTCATCAGTTCACATCATACGGCTCAGCGGAGCGTACTCCGGGAGACGGCCGCGGTTCAGACGGAGGTCCGAGTCACTGGACCGCACTGCTGCTGGGACCCCGGGGACGGAGAAGGGAGGCGGCCGGCGTTCAGGGTGAGGTCCGAGTCACTGGACCACACTGCTGCTGGGACCCCGGGGACGGAGAAGGGAGGCGGCCGGCGTTCAGGGTGAGGTCCGAGTCACTGGATCACACAGTCACTGGGATTCTGGGGACGCAAAAGGGAGACGGCTGAGGCTCAGAGGGAGGTCCACGCCACTGAACCACGCCGCCACTGGGACCCCGGTGACGGAGATGGGAGACGGCCGAGGTTCAGGGGGAGGTCCACGCCACTGGACCATACCGCCACTAGGATCCGAGGGTTGGGACGGGAGATGGCCGAGGGCCACCAAGCAGCACTGAAGCCAAAGAGGAAAAGAAACAGCAAAAACCCACAGATAAGTCAAAGCCGTTGGACCACAGCGTGCCCGCTCTGTTTGGGCGATCCGAGATAGTGTTCGCTAGAATTGGACGACCGGGACTAAG